CCTGGTGAAGAATGGGATTTTTAAATTTGGAATCTTTGGGCGTCCATTCAGCTCTAATGGGTACCTGACATTAGTTGGGGAAAAGTAAAGGCGGTTGGTCGTTGTGCTGGCTACATGACACCCTCGTTAACCGTAAGCCACAAAAACAGATGAACTTTACATGATCTGCCCTATAGACCACAAGGTTTGAAAGGGGAACTAGTTAGGCCAGGTTCACATCTAACTTCACTTTCACTTTCACCTATCCTTTGATCTGCTGGACCGTTGGGGCACTACGCAAGATCTGTTAACCTTCTTTCTCCATTCTTATCTCTCATTTGTCTTTGATATAATTTCATTCGGATGTTCTTTCTGAAAATATTGAAGCCTGCCTGGGTGGACCACTTCGGGGGCCGATTTTGAGTTTGTGTTTCCACACAAACTATCTTTCGTAACCTTGTTAATGTTTAATTACTACATCTAGATCTAAAAATTAAATAATATTGTTATAACCCTAGTGGCGGACTGAAAGGGTTAATGTGACACACGAGACTAAGGTGAATCACACAGGTCAACGGCTGTTGAACAAGGGACAGTACTGCTATACAAGCAAATATGATCCGTGCTGTGGTCATGTGACGAGAGCCTTCACGGACGAGAGACAGAGCGTGTTAGAAAGAAGTCAGTAGAGTCCAGGACAGCAAGCAGTAAGGACTGTGTGCTACAAAGTGAGTCCTCGAAAATGTAGCTGTAGAGACTTGGTAGTGATTAGTTAGGCAGTTCTGCAGTGTAGCAAAGCATTTGAAGTTAGTGAAGCCATTTGTGTTGTATTGGCTTTTGATGTATTTGTCATTAAAGCGCCTCTTTGTTACTTGAAGCCCTTGTTGTCAAGTTCTTGTTATATGTGCTCTGTTGTGTTTAGCAGTATTTGCAGAAGGCCTGGATAAGAAGAACGTAACAATATGTTACATAGGTTGGGGTTGAAAAAAAAATCTTTACTTCTTTTAACTACTTTACAAAACAACGCCTTGATCCAACTGTCTAAAACATTTTCACGACATTTTTTGTAGTAGTCCGGTCCTATTGACCCATAACCTAAAAGTTGGGTCCACCTAACGTTTTTTTGCAGTTTCTATATCTTTAAAGCATGCTTATTAAGAATCCGATTGATGTCAAGCTGACACCATTGGGGAAATTTTTATTTTTAATGTTAAAGTTCACTTATAATATATGCACAATAGGGTGGGCTGATAAAACTGAAAGTTGGAATTTCAAAATCTAATAGCGGGGAAAAGTTGCCCCATGGCATGAAAAGAAAACTGGGAATACTGGCATAAGCAACTATTATGATTTGGTATTAGGTGGACGTTGGGTGGATCCAACTTTTAGGTTATGGGTCAATAGAACCGGACTATATAGGTAAAGGTGTAAAGTACCAAAATAATTCTGTATTATGTCAAAAGTGGTTTTTACCCACGTAGATTCTACTTTTTAACATTAGGTTTTTACTGTATTTCATTTTAATGACAGAGGCACCTTAATTATTTACTTTATAAACGTTTATATAAATTTACTTTATAAATTTTATTTTTATTTTCAGATTAATTATTGATCTACAGACTGTCTCAACAATGGATGAATGCTTTTTCAAATGTCTAATTAAACCCGTACTGATTATGATGTTATTTGTGAGAGCAGAGAGAGAGGGTGATTGGTCTTTGCATCTATTATCTGTTGCAGCAATGATGCCATATTTTTTTTCAGCAGGCCATGTTAACTACGCCAGGTATGGCTTATATTATCTTCGCTCAATGGAACGTCTTCCTAGTGATGTCCTTCTGAGGTTCCTTGAGGGAGAACATGTAATGCGACACAAACCTGGATTATGGAATGGCCTATGGTCAGATATGTACATTGAGTCTACCTTTATGCGGTATGGTCATGGTCCAGGTGGTATAATAGGCATCACTCTCAATCCACAAGCGCTGAAGAGATGGGCACTTAGTTTACACATCTGTAGTGTTATAACCAAAGACCTGAGTGACATGAAAGATATGTACGCATACAGTGACGAAGTTACATGCCATAAAGAAGAAATGCCAGCAAGAATTGCACAGGATTTGAAAGACAGGCGAGCAATATATGAACGTCTTCAAACTTGTATTGATCCACTCAATTCTGGTGACCACCCCATCAGCTTAGTAAACATTGCCACTGGCCAATTCGCTCCCGAATCTGTAAATGTTCATGATGCCATTTCTTTTGGTACGAAGCAGTGGAATGACTATGAGTGTCATTTGCCAGATGGATTTCATAGCTCCATTAGCAAAGTTGTTACCATGGCTGACAGAAAGAAAGCTGAAGCAATGGGATCCGGTATAAGTTATGACACAGAACTCATTTATTCTAGAGTAATTGGATTAATGCCATCCCGTGATTTGCAAATTAGAGATATATTTAAGCACGAATTAGCCTCAGTACCACCATCAATGTTTGATGACAGCGGCAATATGCGAATCACAAAGTCAAAATCGGTGTTGAAACAAAAACTTCAAGTTGAGCATTCAGCTAGAAATTCTCCAGCACCACATGTTGTTGTTGTTGATGGTTGCGCACTTTTATGGATCATACACTGGCCGGTAAATGGTACCTTGCAAGACTTTGTTGATGGATTCATAATGTACATAATGAAAATATTGACTCAACATGATGTTTATGTTGTCTTTGACAGATACTTTCAGTACAGTATTAAAAGTGTAACAAGGAGTGGGCGTGCAGCAAAATCGGCAACCAGACAACACAAGCTGAATCCAACTATGCCCATACAGCCACAGAAAGTCATTCTCACAGTAACAGAAAACAAAGTTCAACTTATTGACATAATTTGTGAGCAACTACTGAACAAAGTACAACATGTACATCCAACAGTTTCTTCATACAATAGCCGGTTAATTGTAACAGGGAAAGACTCCATCCCACAACAAATTTGCTCTGGCATTCGACAAGCTAGAGAAGATATGAAGACAAGCCACGAGGAAGCTGATGTAATCATTCCACAACAAGTTGTGTATGCATTCAATGAAGGAGCTATGTGCATTAAAGTTATATCAGATGACACAGATGTTTTTGCTTTGTTGACACACTACTATATTTCAGAGGATATGACATGCCAGCTGCTCATGGAAAGTACCACCACGATTCGAAAAGTGGTCGACATAGGAGAAACAGCAAGAAAGCATCATCAAATAATACCACACCTTTTAGCTGCGCATGCGCTATCAGGATGTGATACTGTAGCATACATGTTTGGTATCGGCAAAGCTACTGTTCTTAAGTTGCTATTTAAGGGACACACACTTCTCAAATTGGGAGATATAGAATCTGACTTGAACAGTGTGGTAAAAGAAGCTACAAGTTTCATGGCTGCTTGCTACGGGTGTCCGGATGCTGGAAACATGTCTGACACTCGGTATGCCCAATGGCTTTCCAGGACTGGTAAACGAAAAGCCACGATAGCACCTAAATTGAAATCATTGCCCCCGACATCAGAAGCGTTTGAGGAGAATGTTAAGCGTGCCCATATTCAAACATGCATTTGGAAAACTGCTTTACTACGAGATCCTCCAAATCTTGATCCCACCAAATTTGGCTGGCAAAAAGATGACGTAAATAAAACATTAATCCCTATAACACTTCCAGTGGGTGTTGATGTAGCGCCTCCAGAAATTCTTCAGATGATTCGTTGCGGGTGTGGATCGGATGAACCGTGTAGCAGCGGACGATGTGGGTGTTTCAGAGCACAGTTACCTTGCACAATCTTTTGCCAGTGCTATGAAACAGAAAATTGTCAAAATCCATTGACAAAAATTAATGTACTGGTAGATGAAGTGGACGTTGAAAGCGATTCAGGATCTGACGTTGAATCAGAAATTGATTAATCTGTCTGTTGATATTGAAACAGTTAAATTGAAACAGAAATTGTCTGTTGATAATTGCATAATTGTGCCAGATGATATAATTTTTACATTCCATGTGATTGTACAATGTGTATGTATTACAAACAAACTTTAACGCTTAAAAAAAATTTTTCCCCAAAGGTGTCAGCTTGACATCAATCGGATTCTTAATAAGCATGCTTTAAAGATATAGAAACTGCAAAAAAACGTTGGGTGGACCCTACTTTTGGGTCAAGGGGTAAAATGCATTAAGTGAGCCCCAGACTATAGTGTTAAAAAGTCTCCATGTCCAGTCTAGATATAGTATATATAAGTCTATGGTTATAACAATATGATAGCAAAAGAGACATAGTCTTATTCAATTATTGTATTGTATCTGTTGGATTTCTGATTGTCGCATATGTAGGTCGCAGCTGGAGCTAAGTAGCCACGTGAAACACCGTGCTTCTCATTAATGTTCGCACTGTAGAACATTGCTTATTTCTGATTGGGGTTAATATTTTTATACTTTATAAAAGCAGCATTCACACAAGTTTTTTGGGTTTTCGCAACATCATAAGACATTTTCGATAAAGTATTTTTTACATTTTCTTTTTTTTTTTTTTGTTTTAATTTCGGCTTACACCTGAATACATACAAACTAGATACAATTACAATAGATCAATGATGACAAACATTTTAGTAGAGGGCCAAAGAAATTTTAAGAAATATTACGGTGTGCCATAATTTTTTTATCAAAAAATGTTTAAACTTAGTATCAGTTTAATGATATCAAAATTTAAGTTATCTAGACATAAAACTTCGCAAGCTTAAACCATAACAGAAAGTCTTTTACTTTTTTTTTTTTTTTTTTTTTTGTATACTGTACGCTACACTAATTTGCATGTCTAGCAGCTGTCTGAGAACAATCTAATTTTTTAAATATGCTGGCCTAATTTTTTTTTTTGGCAACTTTTGGATTCTTTGTTTTCTTTTGTCATCGATGATGCATTCCTAAAGGGAATGGAACGGCCTGGTTGCATTGAAAATGAAATTAAAATTAAGAAAAAAAATGCACAACCAAATATTTTTATTTTAATTTTATTTGGTTTCATTTTATTTTATATAGAAATAAAAAGACATGTAGAAAGTTTCTCCAAACTAAATGAAATACAGCATAATGAACATTGGAGAGCAAGTGAACGGAACGTAGATAAATGCTGAGATAAATGAACGCACACAAACACATACACACACGCAAATATCTTGTTCTTATTACTACATAAAAGCAGATGAAGCAACCACAACGCACGTGACAACGGTTTACAAATGTAGAGCCTTTATCTTAAAACAATTGAATTTCCAAAATCTTTGGATCTATTTCTCTATTCTTCTCTATCTCTAATACACACACACAGACACGCAGAAACACACAAGCATACAACAGAAACACACAGCATACACACAGAAACACACACGCATACACACAGAAACACACACCAATAAGAAATGTAAAGATTAGCATGTATTAAGCTACCTTCCCAGTTTCACGAGGTTTTAAGAAAGATGCACATTGTTCGTCTCTTGTTTAATTGTGCACTGAAGTAGGTCTACTTGCCACTTTTGGGCTTTGTTGATGTCAAAATAATGTCAACTGAAAACGTAATGATTTTTACAAAAACAGACCTCAGCAGCTCCAACCAAAGGTTCAAATGTTTCTACATAAATCGAATAAATCATTTTCATATCAATGCAATTGAATATAGTTTATGAACATTGGTATTGAGTCAGTTTATCAAACCTAAGCATATTAGCTTTTAGCATAAACTAAGTCTATTAGTACATGCACTATTTTTTAAGGCAGTTTTCGTCGATTTAGTAATAAGACAAATGGAACTGAAAATTGTCAAATAGATAGACACATTGAAAACGTGATTCCTGGTGTTCACATTATGTAGGAGGCTCATGAATAATCTATTTAATTTACATAAGACAGGCCCAAGATTAATTTATTCAGTTGAATGTTCAAATTTTTAAAATTTAATGATCATATTTAAAAAACAAATACACAATAAAATATACATAAAATCAAAGCTAATACTGATATAAATAACCCTTAACATAATTATTGACGTAATCAAATTCAGAAATCAGAAATAAAAAACTATGTACATGAGAAATGTATGTTTGAAAACTCTTTTAAAAGATCAATAATAATATAATATTCTATCGAATAACGAAATAACCGAAACAAAAATGTAAAACATTGATGTCGAAAATCAAAAGATATTACAAAGCAAAAATTTGATATTTCTTGAATAATTAATGTTTGTCAATCTAATCATGTTTGTTATCACTTAATGTTTGTTATCACTTAAGGATTGTTTGAACATTGAATTTTTTTTTCAATCAAATATTGCTTGTTTAATCATTAAATGTTTCTTAATTTGCTAATCTTTGGGCGTTTGTTTAATCATTGGATGCTTGTTGATTATCAACCTTAAAAAAGAAAAGCATTACAAATATTTTATTTTAAAAGATAATATCTCCTTTATACAACATATCAAGCGACTGTTTTCTCTTAATAACAAATAACTTTTATATTGTTATATTGTTAAATAAAAAAAAACATAGGAACATTTTTTACCCAGCTCCCTCACCACCCCCTCCACCTGCAAGATAAGATCCTGGTCAAGTGAATGTATAAATCTACTCGACGTTATCATATTCCAATGATGGGCCTTTAGATCTAGATGCGCACATGTTTCCTTAGCATTAATTAACTCTTGAATCAATTATGCCTTATATTCCGAAATTCCCAAATGCGATAGTCCTTTCAAGAACGCGATAGTCCTTTCAAAACCGATTTTGGATCTATCCCTAGATCTAGTTCTCTAGCCAAATTTTAATTAATTTACTTTTTTACTTTAAAAACTGTTAACGGTCCAGCTAGAGTTTGTCCTGTGTGGCCAACGAGTTCTTAATTCTTTTCCCATCGATGTCCATTAACTGTTAAATTTATAGAAAAATTGTTAGTGCCGTTTTTGAGATCATCGATCAGGTTCCATCCTCCATGAAGTTCTGACTTGAATGGAGATATTGTCAAAATAAAAATACAATTGGGTTCGATAAAATGTATTTATTTTTATTGTTGCTACTAAAAATGGCAATTACGATTTATCGACAATGTGAAGCTCGCTTCTTGCATACATGACATACATTTATGTTATACAAATACTTTGGAATGTTTGCAATTCATCACGATAATACAATTATAATTATTCGTTTATTAAGAAACTCAATCATCTAGTGCTATGTTATGAAAATGTGTGATTCCTTCTGAATGACCGTTATTCTGTAAGATGTCCAACTCTGTGTCATCTGGAGGATTGACCTCTGAACTTTTTCTCTGGTAGGTGCTTGATCGGTAGATATTCGGTGGATTATAGATATTATTGGCAGGGTTATACATCTTTTCTCGGCTATCGGTCATCTCGTAAGTAGTCTGAGGTCTGAAGTAGGTAGGTGGATTTTTTCTCTGGGGAATATCAACGGAAGTAAATGAATGATTTACTTTCAGAATGTCTGTAGAGTTTTGTTATTTCTTAGTCAAGTGAGTAGTCCGAGATTGGGATAAAGGTTTAACTCCTTCTCTCCGTAATTATTTACCATATTCTGGTGGAATCAACACTGGTATCGTCAGTTAGGAGAGAAAGAGTTAAAAGCTTAAGTGAGATCGATCTGAACTGAGAGAGAAATGAGGTGGAGTTGAGAGAGGTAGAGTTAAGAGAGAAAGGTGGAGTTGAAAGAGGGGTTGAGTTGAGAGAGGTTGGGTTAAGAGAGAGAGGTGGAGTTGAGAGAGGTTGGGTTAAGAGAGAGAGGTGGAGTTGAGAGAGGTTGGGTTAAGAGAGAGAGAGAGGTGGAGTTGAGAGAGGTTGGGTTGAAATAGGCGGATTTGAGAGAGGGGAAGATGATAGAGGCGGAGTTTAGAGAGCTGGGATTGAAAGAGGTGGAGTTGAGAGAGGTGGTAGGCAAAGCTGAAAGTGGTGGAATTAAGTTTAGACAAAGCTGAGAGAGGTGAAATTAAATTTAGACAAAGCTGACCGAGATGAGATTGAGTTTAGGTTTAGAGGAAAAAAGAGAGCTGCAGATAAGCTGTAACATTAGTTGTAAAAGTGGAAGCTGAGAGAGTGGAGTCGAGTTGGTTTAGGTGGAGTTGAAAGAGATTGAAGTGAAAGAGGAGTTTAAAGGAGCTGGGAAAGAATGAGTTGAGATAGATAAAGCTCAACAAAAGTTTAACTTATTAAATATTACACTAGTGACTTGTCTATTAAATGGTTTTATTATTTTTCAAAATGAAAGATAAAGTGTTTAAGTCACAAAGCCTTGTACATTCTTGTCAAATACCATGTGACTACCTCGAGTCCTCCCGAAATAAAAAATTGTCAGATATAACTTGAAAATAGGTCTTTTAAGATTTGTGAATATTATGAAGCTTACAAAATATACTGAAAACCAAAGCACTTCTTGGTGGTAAAACACTTCTCTAAACATCTTCTACAAGTCATGCTATCGCTAAGTCTTTATTGTGTGATTTAAGATTGTCTATAACTTATTCATTCATTAGTTGGACCAGTAGTGACAACTTGTTAAGAAAGCAATGTTCCGAAGTCACTCCAACATGATAAACAAATGTTAGATTTATTATAAACAAATATCAGCTACATAAAGACTTCGTTGATGTCATAAGAGGACTCACATTATCTACTTTGTAATAAATATTTACTTTTGTAATGCATAGTTACTTTGTAATAGATATTCACTTTTGTAATATATACTCACTTTGTAATAAATATTTACTTTTGTAATATATACTCACTTTGTAATAAATATTTACTTTTTTAATATATACTCACTTTGTAATAAATCTTTACTTTTGTAATACATATTTACTTTGAAAAATACTTTACCTTTAGGTTTTCCAGATAGTCGTCTGGGTTATCGGCACTTGTTTTCGTACGACAGTTTCTGATGAGAAAGAAAAAGGGAGGCTAGCATTTAATTTCGACAGTAGATAGTATCATTCTTTCGAATTGTCTTCAAGAGCTGTACTGGATAATACATGTAGTGACAAAGGTAAGATTGCAAACAAAGTGGGGATTCAGAATGAAAAAAATATTAAAAGGGTAATTTCATCATGGATTTCATCTATTTAATAAGCGATAACTCACCAAAGTTTTCAAAAAAATATTTTACAAATACTTTGTTAACGAATGCTATCACACTTATCATTTAGAGTTTCTAAAGTTGATGAGATATCAAAATATTTATAAACTTTCATTTATGGTATAACTGTAAAACAGATAACGATATTTTAATAAATTGATAATGATATAAGAATACAACGGAGAATGTATTCAAATTTATGCTTGGATAGTTTCAACAAAATTTTTAGCACTTTGTGGCCAATTTATTGCTGTCTACTTACTTAGAAACATAGGCGTACATAGATCATCTAGTCGGCACTAAATTTTTTCGTAACATAAAATATTTTAGATACTATTCTGTGCTAAAGATAAAAGTTCGCTGAGTAAATTTTAGCAGTGAAAACAAATTACAGAGAAAGCAATTATTTGAATAATGAAGACTATTATATTAAAAAAAAAATTGTTATCTACTTACTTAACAAAGACGTATATGATCAGAAGAAGTAATACCAACCCAAGTATAGATGCAATAACAGCCAAAGCAATAGTCAAGGATTTCACATTATCCTCAAGCTCTGCAACGAATATTTAAGATTGACAAGAAATAAAGCAGACTTCATCTGGTGTTAACACAACTAGTTACATGTATAAAACCATATACTTGTATTGACCGAAAGCTACAGGTCATATCTCGGTCGCTCATTGAGAACGGTTACAGGAGCGGAGAGCGGTGCGCTACATATATGATACGACCCAGCCCAGTAATGGTCGATATCAATGTGGAACCCTCAGACAGGATATTGGATTATGAGCTTCCGGTCTACGTTTGATCGTTGGACTTCAGACAGGACTCGAGATTATGAGCTTCCGGTCCACGTTTGATCGTTGGACTTCCGACAGGACTCGAGATTATGAGCTTCCGGTCCACGTTTGATCGTTGGACTTCAGACTGAACATGGGATTATGAGCTTCTGGTCCACGTTTTGACTGTTGGACTTCAAACAGAACATGGAATTATGACCTTTTCGGTCCACGTTTGATCGTTGGACTTCAGACAGGACATGGGATTATGAGCTTCCTGTGCACGTTTGTTGGACTTCAGACAGGACTCGAGATTATGACCTTTTTCGGTCCACGTTTGACTGTTGGACTTCAGACAGAACATGGGATTATGAGCTTCCGGTCCACGTTTTGATCGTTGGACTTCAGACTGAACATGGAATTATGAGCTTCCGGTCCACGTTTGATCGTTGGACTTCAGACAGGACATGGGATTATGAGCTTCCTGTACACGTTTGACTGTTGGACTTCAGACAGGACTCGAGATTATGACCTTTCGGTCCACGTTTGACTGTTGGATAAAAATGTTTTTCAACAGCCACTGAGATAATGGTGCTTCGGCGCGAAAATCCTGATAGGCTAAGTAACATTTCAGAATAATTAAAGAGAAGTTTAATTTAAATAAAACAGGCTACTTATCTACATTTAAAATCTAGTTATTGAGAAGCAAAGACCAAGTGGCTACACATGTAAAAATATGTCATATATAAAATCATATTTTTTTTACATTGATTTATTTTAAAAAAAATTAAGCCGCCAAAAAAAAACTGCATTTAAAATAATTACAAACAAAATTAAAATCTAAGTGAAAATTGAAACAAATAATACAAACAATATCCAATTAATAATAACAAGAGGATAAAGCATTTGGTAATGAACAATAAGGAATATATAATTAGCAAAATCCATGATGTTGCCGTTGTGGCTGGGATGGAGTGGTTCAACTATGTACTCAAAGATCTAAGAAACATTGACGACAAGTTTCATGAAGACACATTCCTCGTTCCATATACTAGGACAAATTTGTACAATGCTTCTTCTTCCCAAGCGCTATTAGAGCATGGAATGGGTTGCCTGGGCTAGCCAGGAAAAACAATGACTTGGCAGAATTTAGGTTATTGGTTAATATGCATGACGAGTAGGACGTAATCATCTTATTTTTTGAAGTAACGTTTTGTATTACATAAGATAAGATAAGACTGGTAAGACGGTAGGAATATCCATAATGAATATTCATGCATCTTTTCTACTTTATTTTAGATAATCATCTCCGTGGTTTTTTAAATTAAAATGTCCAATGCCTTCTATAAAAAATACACTATATTGAATCGTTCTTAAT